TAGATCATTGATTGTAGGCATTTTTCTTTTCTGCTATAAGTATTTAAAACTAAATGTTGATATGTAGTATTTTCATTAACATCCAGTTAGAAATGTTTTATAATTTTGCTTTTGTTTTCTCTTTGACCTTAGGTTATTTAGAAGAGTATTGTTTAATTTCCAAATATTTGGAGCTTTTAAAGATCTCTTATTGTTATTCATTTCTAATTGAATTCCAGTGGGGTCAGAGAATATACTCTGTAAGATGTCAGTCTTTTGAAATGTATTGGCACTTGTTTAATTACCCAGCATATGGTCTGTCTTGATAAGTGTTCCATGTGCATATGAGAAGAATGTGTATTTTTCAGTTTTGGGGTGAAATGTTCTAGAAATGCCAATTAGGACAATGTGGTTGATGATGTTGTCAAATCTTCTATGTCCCTAATGATTTTATTGTTTAGTTGTTTGCGATTCTCTCTTGTAATAACACTTTTTCCCTCTGTGAGGAACACATACTCTTCAATTTTATAATGACAGTTGATGGGACAGTAGAATGAAGAAATTCAATTAAAAAAGAGTTGTCCAGGAAAACAGCTATTCCTTAAGTTCCTTAAACAGTGTGCTCTCCAAAGATCACCAGCAACTCAGAGATCCAGATTTGGGTTCTGTAGAGTCACTGGGCATCCCACAGGGGAGGCTATCCCTTCCTTTTCCCCCACTTCTCAGCTAGATGGAGGCCCCATCTATCTCTCATCTGTTGTTTTCCACAAATTTTATTCAAATATCATTTCTTACCGCCACTCACTTATTTCCCCTTCCCTCACCCTGTTAACACCCAGGGACACAGCAGAAACTCAGGCTTAGGTGAGGGATTCTTCTGAGAGGCAGGGACAGGGCAGGGATTATGAACTCTATCTCTCTGGCTCAGCTCAAAACTGTACTTCCTTCCAGGTGCTGCCTCAAAATGATTTTGCCATGTAACTAACTGATGGCTCTGCTTCTCATCTTTCAGACCCAGGCACTGAGGCAGAGAGAGAGTGTGATGTTTCCCCTCGAGCCTAGGACAGCACGAGCCACACTCCCAGCAGCTGTTGCATCTTAGGTTCTCCCCCCCTGTGACGGACGGAGGAGCTTGTGGTCTCAGTGATCCATGAGCTGTGCAGAGCACCTCCTCCATGTCAGGCACTGGGAATATAATGAAGCATGATGGGAGTGTGACTTTTTTACATCCTTAAATGGGGTAAAAAAATATTGTTAAAACTGCAGTCCTGACTTTATCTTAAACCTTGGCTTTTCAGAAAAATCCAGCGAGTGAAAACTGACTTCCAGCTAAGTTGATGAGCCCTGCTGTTTTGAAAAATAAAACAGAAGCAAAGACTGTGGAGCCAGGCTCTCTGGGGTAGATCAGTCCAGGTAGGAAGCAGACAAGAGGCCAAAGGTAAAAATGATCACGTGATATTCTCTGTCTCAGGAGACCTTTCTGGAGCTCTCAGTGGAAGAAACAGATCACTGCCGGGTGCTGCTGGGCTCAGGGGCTGCAGGGTCCCCCGCTGCTAACTGCATGGCCACTCCTGCCACACCTGCAGGCCGCGCTGCTTCCTGTTGCTTCTGTTTCAGATCTGTTCTGTGCCAGGCACTGTGCTGGTCCCAGGGAACCTGGTGAGGTGCCTGCCCTGGAGGAGCCCACCTGGATGGTGATGGCTCCAGGTGATTTTCACCCTATCATCTCCACATCTGGCAGAATGTGGGGTGTCAGCAACTGGCAGGAGTCCAAAGGAGAACTCCTGCCCCACCCCCAGATCCCTGGGTCCATGGGATCCCCAGGGTCACAATCTACTCTCTTTCTGTCTCTCTAGAAGGCTGCAGCATGAGGGGCCCTAGTTAGAATAATCCTTACATTTTACAGGACTTTACAGTTTGTAGAGCCTTTCATGTATATCAACTTTTTCATTTGATCCCAAAGCAGCCCCGTAAGAACCAGGCATACCTTGCCTTCTCCTAGGTCTTCACTTGCCACCAGGACTCCCAAACCACTGGATTCCAACCACTTTCCTGGGTACTCAGGGTACCGAGGCAAATTTCGGGCTTCCTGGGGGACACTCTCACTAGAATGAGCTGCGGGCAGGCCCATCCTCTTTGCGCCCCCCCCACCTGCTCTTCCTTGTGCGCTCCCCGGCGTCACTGGTGGTTTCGCTGTCCACCCGGGCACTCAAGTAGGAAATCCAGCGGCACCCTCATCCCGCCTTCTTGCTGGCTCCCAATCCCAGGGCTGCCTCCCCCTCTGAACGGATGCCACCCCTTCTCTTCAAACCCACAGCCCCTCTTTTGAGGCACAACCCTCTGCTTGTACCACTGCCCCTCCCTGGGCTCCTGGCCTGAGGCCCTGACCTCCACATCCCCAAATCGGCTCTTCCCACCCCATCCTCTTGCCAAGAGCTTTGGTGACTCCCACTCAATTACAAGGCAAAGGGCTTCCCTGGTGGCGCAGTGGTTGAGAGTCCGCCTGCCGATGCAGGGGACATGGGTTCGTGCCCCGGTCCGGGAAGATCCCACATGCCGCGGAGCGGCTAGGCCTGTGAGCCATGGCCGCTGAGCCTGCGCGTCTGGAGCCTGTGCTCCGCAACGGGAGAGGCCACAACAGTGAGAGGCCCGCGTACCACAAAAACAAACAAACAAACAAAAAAAACAAGGCAAAGTTCAAACTCCAGAGTGTGACACTGAAGACCCTCTGTGTTTGAGCCCAGCCTCGCCTCCACCCCATTCCTACCCCAGGCCCTGCCAGCGCTCCCTGTTCCCCAAGCCCTTGACACGGCTCCACACCATCACATCTGTACTGATAGTAGCCCCTCTGCCTGGAACAGGGCCTTTCATGAGTTTTGTCTCTGCCAAAATGCTATCCTCTCTCAAGGGTGTTTAAATATCAGCCCATCCCCTGCTCAGTAAGATCTCCTCTCTGGGCCTGTGCACTTTTCCAACTTCATCTCGTTGACTCACCCGCTCAGGGCAGCTTCTGGAGCTCCTGGTCTGAGTGGGCTTCTCTTGCCTCAGGCTGCCTTGCACCTGTACCTCTCTTTCCAGAACGCTCATCCCACTCACAGTGACTTGTGCAATGACTGTCTTCCCCTTGAGGGCAGGGACCTTGTCTGTCTCATTGACTGCTGTCACCCCATTGCCTGGAATAGCACTTAGCTCATAACTGGTCCTTGATGCATATTATTACCTGGATGAATGAAGGAGTGAATGAATGATTAAATACTTGACTTACAAAACACATTAAAATATAGCTTTTAATGAATTGGGAAAGAGTTTATGACATTAATGAGATAATCAGAAACTTGATCACAGAATACTTGATAGTATTAAGGATTTATTTCTTTTTTAGGAGTGATATAATAGGAGTGTTTTTTGAGTCCTTGATTTTTACAGCTATGTACTAAATATTTGCAGAGGAAATGGTGTGGTGTTTGGGATTTACTTCCAAATTATTTGGGGGGTGGGAGTAGGAAGGGGTACAAATGAAACAAGATTGGCCATGAGTTGATAGCTGTTTAGACTGCATGGGGAGAACTTGGGGGCGTTTATACTAGTCTCCCTACTCGATTATATATTTTAGATTTTCCATTCTAAAAAATTAGTAATAAAAAAAAAAGGATCAAACCCAGAGATGGGAGTAGGTGGAAGGGATATAGCTTTTATGTTATCAGTAAAGGTGGGTAAGATAACCAGGACTTTGCAATTCAGGGAAATTATTTGCAAGTCTGTTCTTGAGCACATTGCCTTCCAGCAGCATTTTTGCTGAGGGCCGTTTGTAGCAGAAGACAGTTATATGGTCACTTCCGTGTCATGAAAACACATCTGTCTCATCAAAGCAGGAGAAGCTTAGGGAACATTCAGCACTCTGCTGCTCTCCGAGGTCTGCAGCGGTTTGCTCTGGCCCCGGGGAAGAGGATATTTACCTCCTAGGGCTTTAGACACAGAGATCCACTCCCCCTGTGATGAGGGGCCAGGGAGTGCTTGGAAGAGTGGAGGATGCGGCATAAATCCCTCAGGCCCCTCAAAAGCGCAGAGTTGTGTCCACAGCCAGCTGTGCACCGCAGAAACTGTCCTAAGGATTCCCTCTATCTGTCGCCTTCACTGGGGCAACACCCGCCCCACATCCTCCCAGAGAGGAGGTGCTGGGCGGGGCTGGAGTGCACAGGCAGGTCCAGGCGTCCCAGGAGCATCTCAGGGCTGGGACACAGGGGTACTCTGCCTCCTTCACCAGGGGTGGTAGAGAAGTCTCCAGATAGAAATCCTATTTCTCACCAAGGCGGAGAGTTCCCCCATTTTAATGGGAAAATAAATCTAATTTGGAGGCTGAGGTGGTCCCTGCAGCAGCCAGGAGTAGGGGAATCTTGTCCTCAGTGCCCAGGCGGGGGCCCCAACCCCTTCCCAGCACGCAGTCACCCACCCGGCCGTGCGCTCCTTTCCAGGCTCTCTAACCTCCATCTACTACCTGCAGCCTCTGCTGTAGCCAAACCTAGTGGCTTCCTGGCCATCGCATTTCAGTGGCATTCCCCTCCTCTGGCCTCTGGTCCCGTCAGTCCCTCACCCAGAATGGCCTTGCCTCCGCCAGCAACCCTTCCTCGCCCCTCCTTCTGCATCTCCACGTGTGCGAGCAGCTATTCAAGACCCAGCTTAAGGGCTTCCTCCCCGTCTCCTCTACCCCCTCCTCTGCCTTCTCACGAAGGCTTCCCTGACCTCTGCAGCTGGGAGCAAGCGGCCATCCTCTGAACGTGTTGCAGTTTCCACCCCGCCCCTAAGTGCGCCCTGGCCCTCTGTGTCTGGCAGTGTTTCTCCACGAGGTCTGCGCACATTTCCTCTCCCCCGTCAGACTGTGAGAGCCCGGTTCCTTTAAGCCCCACCCTGTACCTTGTGCTCTAGGCAGCAATGCTCAGAAAGAGTATGTGCCGTGGAGCGGGAGGGGCGGGGGAGCTGTGTAGCCTTTCTTGCTTCCGACCTGAGGACCACAGCTGGACTCCCCAACATTTGCTAGAAGGTGAAGTCAGCCTCCCTCTGGGGCCCTGAAAGATCCCCCGGGTTGGGAGGTCAATGGAGGGAGCTGGGGCCAGGATTCTTGATTCCTCCACTTCCTGATCCCCTTTGGATAGACAGCTGGGGGCGGGGACATTCACAGTTGAGAACACTGAGCCGAAGAGTGACAGTGTCACAGAGGAAGAAGGATTTAAACCCACTAACAAGTGAGTACCTCAAAGACGTGCCGTTTCGTGTTCATTTGGATGACTTGGCCCGGGGCTCAGCATGGGGCTCAGTTAGGAGAGCTAAGATCAGATCCCTGTCTTGAAGGTGCTTGGAGGTTAGTACAGGATACAAACCGGGGCAGTTTCTGAACTACAAAGTGCCCTAGCTGAGGGGTGGAAGGAGCGTGTACACAGTACTGCAAGGGAGGCCGAGGGCTCCACAGAGGAGGTGATGGCTGTGCTGGGCCTTGAAGGGTGCACAGAATTAACGGGAGTTCTCAAGGTGGAGACGGCAGAAGAAATATGACGGCTCGAGGCTTGGAGGTATAGAAGACTTGGCATCTTTGGGGAATGGCAGGAAGTTCAGTGTAGTGGGAACCCAGTGGGTGGTGTGGGGAGGGAACAAAGAGGAAAAGTCGGCTGGGCCAAGGGGGGAGCCTTCATAAAGCAAACCTCTTTGCCAATTACCAGGTCAGGTGAATTATGTGGAGATCAGAGCCAGCCTCCAGAGATCACCCATCTCACCCATCAAGTCCCCAAAGCTGGTATTTTGGCAAGAAAACTCAGGGATGGAGAGTAAAGGAAGATCAGGAGGCTGGCCCCAGACAGTCGGTCACTTGGTTCCCTGACAGCCCAGGAACCCATGCCTGGGGGCTTGGATGGGGGCTGAGAACTGGGCAGAAGGTTGGACTAGAAGATCTTAGAGGCCCTTCCCACTCTGCCTTCCGTGGCTCTATGATGGATGCTGGGAATTATTTCAGGAGTTGAAAAAGGACAGCTTAAGCTGACACTTCCTCCCTGAGTGGTGACCTGCAGGCAAGATGGCTCCTTCCCAGACAGCCCACTCCTGATTCTGGCTGCAGCCCTCTGCGTTAAATGAGGACTTGCTTACGGTCTCCATCTTGCTTATGGGAAGCGGAGGCTCCGAGGCCCTGTGGTCCGCTTGCATGACGGGGACTGGGGTCCTGGACTTCTGGTGTCTCCTGTCTGACTCAATGGACTGTGACTCCTGCAGGTTAGGGGCTGTGTCTTCTTCCCCCTGAGGGTTCCAGGCCTGTCCACAGATATCAGCACATTCAGTGAACAAACGAATGAGGGCAGGACCAGGTTAAGAGTGGCTGCTGGCGCAGTAAGACCCAAGAGCTACAGTTGGAGCTGGCTGGTGTGCGCTGAGCCGAAGGGCAGGTGGCCGGCTGACCTGGGATGGCAGGGAAAAGAGGGGTGGCCGGGGACAAAGCTGGAGCATGCCCAGCCCACATGGGAACAGGAGCCTCAGGGGAGGTCTGCCCCAGGCCTGGGTTCCTGTGGAACATCTTAGCGGGGGGTCCCTACAGAGCAGAGGCCAGGCCAATTTGCCTGCTCCTGGCACAGGTCGGGAACCCCTCAGGCGTGCCCTCCTCCCCGCTTTATATCTCGCACGCTGCCCTCTCTCCTCACTCCTGGCTGACAGAAGGAAGCTGGGCTGGAGAGATGATGACTCAGAAACCAGCAGCTGCCCCAAGTAGAAGTGAAACAGTTGTCTCACAAACACATCGGTCATTTAAATGCTCTTTCCTTAAAACTCTTTCATACCTATTTTTTTCACTGAAGCAAACTGATGAAGTGAATGTTATCATTGTACCCATTTTACTGGTGAGTAAACTGAGGGTCAGAGAGGTGAAGTAAGTGGAAGAACCCAGGTAGGACCCAGGGCTTTTGACCCCATATCTACAGATTTCTCTACCACAACCCCATAGGGCTCTTTCCTAAGTGTCCTGTGTCGTGCAGCACAGAAAGTCAAGCTTTATTCCAACCAGTTGATCTGGTCTACCTGGGCCACGAGTAACTCACCTGGTGCTCCCTCACCCCACCTGGCATTGAGCTTCACTCAAGGGATCTGGGGAGCTCAGGGCCAGCATCTCCCTCTGACCGTCCACTGGCTTCTCGTTTCTCCCTGCAGGGTACTTGCTTGGACACCAGTGGTTGTGTGTGCAGGAGACACTGTGGAACGTTCTAGGGTGAGTCCGTTCCCTCTGAATTGTAGTTAGTGTTGGTCTTTTGGGGCATCTCTAGTTGTCAACTGCTGGCAGCAGCAGGTGAGTGGCTAGGGCATCTCTGGTTCTTGCAAAGGACTCTTTCTGGAAACCTGCTTGCCATCTGCCTGTTCCTGCTGCCCAACCCCCTCCCCAGGGGCTCTGCCTACGGTCGCCTGCTGCACATGCGGAGCTTGGAAGTGGATTTCTCCACTCAGTCCAGAGGGCACGCGTTGCAAATAGGCTAATTCCTGTGTGGTCCACTGAGGCTAGAGGACTAGCCCCACCGCCCAAGGAAAAAGGTGGGCATCCGATAGACAAGGTGCTCAACCCCAGTGCACCAGGAGGGGATAAAGAGGCTTTCAGGGTGGAGCAACCAGGGCTGGGATGAGGTCTTGTGAACTGGGGCCACTGTGCTTCGGTCCCTCCACTAAGGCCATCTCTTTACACCTTGGTTTTTCTGCCTGCAAATGGGGCTGGTTTGTGCAGCCTGGGACTGTTCTGTCATGGCAGCAACAACACGGCAACCTGTAGCTAAAGACCCAAATACTGTGCTATCTTCTCACCACGGGGACACGTGTCACAGATGAAAGGACACACTTGCTTTTTCTAAAGGCAGCACAAGCTGGCAGGTGGCACGCGGAGGTCCAGGGTGCTGCAGAGAAAGCAGTCTGGGCGGGTGTGGGAAGCAACAGGCGGCCGGGCCCCCATTCCTCTCCCTCCTGCCTGCATGCACGCTGCGATCCCCTCCACCTCTGCCTGTCCCTACGCACAACAGGCCACAGTGTGGATAACCCAGGGCCTTGTGCCCAGAGCTGGCCTGACGGAGGGGGTGGCGTGGGTGCCCCGGTGGCTGCTGGAGAGGTTCTGAGAGGGCTGCCCCATGGTCTCACCTCTCCCTCCTGACGCAGGTGCAGATGTGTGTCCAGCCTGGGCCCCGATGCTCACTTTGCTCTTTAATCTGGTGGGTTCTCTCAGCTCCTCCCCTACTCTCCCACCCCGCCCCCACCCTCAGACCCTTCTCTGGGGAGAAAGGGCCATGTCTAGTAAGGAGCACCCTGGCCTTTGGTCAAAGACTGCCAGACATGCCCCTGGCCCAGGGGGCTGGGCTGTGGCCAGGCAGAGGCAGAGGCAGAGGTGCGTGGGTAAAAAGCAGAGGGAAGCCTGGCCTTGTCTTTCCCTGCTCAAAACCTTCAGGGGCTGCCCACTTTCCCCGGGGTGAAGGCGGTCTTACCTCCTCGGCTCTGTCTGTCTCTCCTGCCTCAGCTCGCACCTACCCTGGGATCTAGGCTTATGGAGCATCTGTCTGTTCCCGTGTCCCAGCTCCTCTCCTGATCTTGGGCATCCTGTCCCCTCTGTCTGCTCTGTTCTTACCTCTACACCTTGCTCCTTTCTGCTGTTCCCTTGGGTTTCAGCTGAGGTGTCACCTCCTCCTGGAAGCCTTCCCTGACCACCCTGCCTACAGCCTGGGTCAGGGTGCTGCTTCTGTAGCTTGCACCCTACACTCGTCCCCATCCTCATCGTATCACACACTTGTCCCTATTGTCTGCCCGCTGGTCCTCCTGTCCCAGTGGATGTGGGCTCATTGAGGGCAGGGCCTGGGGCATGCCCAGCCCCTGGCCTTGGCACAGAGATCATAGTAAATAGTCACTGGATGTGTGAGAGGGAAGGAGGCTAGGAAGAGAACCGACAGAGAGGGAGGCTTGTGGGGCTTATAGGATCCCTGACCACAGATAGACCTGCGAGAAGCCAACAGTATCCCCATCATGCTGGTTTCTAGGAGCCCCCCAGGTCTTCCAGACTGTACACACCACCCCCACTCTGTGCCCAAGGAAATCAACCTGCAGGAGGGAGAGGGAGAGGAGGAGAGGACCCAGGGAGACTCCGCAGTGCTGGGTCCCTCAGCCCTGGGTTCCCCTGAGCCCTGGGGTGGGGTCCTCACTTTTGCTTCCCCAGGACCTCCTGCAGGCAGAGGATTCCACAACCCTCTGGTTGGCACATTGGCAAGTGCAGGGAGAGACACACATTCAGACATGGAAACGTGGGGGACCCTGATTTTCAAGAAATCACAATGGTTAGTCAGGCCAGGGGCAGATGGCTGCCCGTGAGAAGCCTCATCGCACCAACCCCGCTAGAACTTTTCCAATCCATCCTCCCCTCCCTGCCCTATCCCGTCAGCCCGGAGCTGGGGTCCCCATAAGACAGGAGAGTCCCTACCTCGGAAAGTCACTTTGGCGATCCGGTCGCCCCTGCCCCGCAGCTCGGAGACCGTCTTGAGGTGGACGAGCAGAGCCATGCTGGTGCGGGAGCCTGGGTACTGCCAGGCGGGAGCAGCTGGGGAAGGAGCGAGCTCTGTGGATGGAAGGCGCTCCGCACACGTGCCTCCCTCCTCTCCCACACCGCCTCCTCTCCCCTCCGATGCTGCCCACAGAGACTAAGGCAACCAAGCCGAGCCGCTCCTTCCAGAGACTCACAGCCCGGCCAACCTCCACCCCTCCAAGTGGTCAGCCCAGCGTGTGTGTGTCTGTGCGTGTGTGTGTTGTGCGCCCGTGCGCAGCCTAGCAGTGCAGACGGTCTGAATTCATTATTGAGCAGCCGCCTGCTCCCAGATAAGGGACGGCCCAGCTTCAGGTGTCTTCTCTCAGCTCCTGGGGCAGAGCTGCCTGTCCTCCCCTCCACAGGGCCTGCCAGGCCAGCTCTTCTGCCACCAGGAGTGGGAAGATGGGAGTGGGCATGAGCGCGGTGGGCTGGGTGTGGGGCGGCACCCCTCCCATGGGGGAGAAGGAACTTTACGATCTGTGTGCACAGGAAGCTGAGCTGTTGCACTGATGTTTCAGGGCGCCTCCCCCCCAGTCAAGCTGGCCAGCAGGGCTGCTGGTGCCCACCAGGCTCAGGGGGCCTGGATGCTCTGGAAGGGTCACACCGTGCTATGTAGAAATCCCAGCCCAGGGCCCTTCAGCTGGAAAATCAGCACCTACTGGATAGCATCAAGGCTGTGCCTGGTGGCCGGTCCCTCAGAAATGGGAGCCCTAAGAGGACAGGGAATGTACTTTCCCACCTGCTCTCATGGAGATTAGGACCCCAAGAGGCCGGGTCCTGACTCCCTGGGATCTGGGAGGATGGAGGTGCTGTTTGGGGGGCGCTCAGGAGCCAGGCTAAGCATGATTGGAGATGCCTGACTGCGAAGGCCTCAGAGGCTTATGTCTTACTAAGGGCAGTGCTTCAGGTCCAGGGCACTAACCCAGCCCTGTCCTAGGGCCCGGGCGTGGCGAGATGTGCTGCAGGAGAACTGTCAGCTGCGAGTGGTTGGGGAAGGGGTTTCTGTGGCAGAATTTCCAAGGACCAAAGGAGATGTGCCCCTCCTTTCTTCCAGCAGCACACCCCTGGAGGGGCTCAGTGGGAAGGGGACCCTGGGGGCTGGGGTCCCCGAGCCTGGAGCCTTTGCAGGGCCATCTGCACCCTTGTTCTTGCTGTTTGCTCTGCACGGAATGCCCCTACCCCATCCCTAGCCTCTCGGCTCAGCCCGACTGGTGCCTATCCTCGGAAGTGCCTCTGCACCCGCACGGCACTCAGGCTGGGTCAGGTCCTTGTCTGTGCTGCCCCTGTCCCCTCTCATCCACTGCTTCCTTGGGCTCCTCCACTTACCTCCCCCGACCCCCGACTGGGAGACCCTGGAGCCCTGCACCTTTGTGTCCCCAGAGCCTCGCATGGTCTCCTGTGGATAGTAGAATATCCCATGAATGTTGACAGGATAAAAGAGTGACCGTGGTGACCTATCTGAACAGTCTAAAGGTTAAAAAAAAAAAAAAAGAAATATTAAATTTTTACAACATGCTGGCAAGAGGTCACTCCCTTTGAATTCTATAGTCCAAGCGACCTGCAGGGTATCACAAGAGCATTCTTCCTTCCTTCTAGATGTCTCCTCCTACTCTACCCTATTTTTCTTTATCTCTTTATGTTCTAATTCCTTCTCTCTCTTTCCTTCCTCAATTCCTTCTCCTTTCTCACATTTATCTAGCCACACTGAATTAAAGAATATTTTAGAATATTGTATTTATGCAATAAAAGTGAAAGTCTAATTTAAAAAAAAAAACCAGATGTTTAATGTCTCTTTTTAAAAAAACTAAATTCACCAGCGTGTTCCAACCCTAAGGCCGTCCGGTGATCTTTGTAAAGCCTGGTGGCGCTTTACAGGGAAAAAAATCTATCTCCTCCCTAGGCTCTCTGGATGTTCTCTCGTGAAGGGGGCGAGCTTCATGAGGCCTCCTAGGGACCTGTGCATCTTTAGGAGAAAGCCCCTGAACTTGCCCTCTGTAAGGCCTGGAACTTCGCTGAACCTCAGTTTCCGTATCTGTGAAATGGTAGCAATTCCATCCGGTCAGCACACAGCACCCCTTGGCTGAGCCACTGACCCTTCTGAAACCTAAGCCAGATCCCACTTTTTAATTTCCACTCTCCTGACTATTACCCATTTGGGTAACTCTTAGTACGACATTTATTCACTGAATGTGTACTGAACTCCTTCTAGTACCAGGTGCTGGGGACTCAGAGATGAACATGATAAGTACTAGCCCTCAGGCAGAAGGGGCAAATGGACTAGAACACAGACGCATAGAACCCAGGACGAAGGGTCCATGGGTGGATCAGCTTGGAATCCATGAATGGGGAGAGGGAGTGGGCACCGGACCTTGTCTGGGGATGGGGGTCTTTAGGACCACCTTCCTGGAGTTGTTCTAAAGAACTAAAGGTTGTTCTTTTACAACTTTTATGAATGTTGTTCTTATCATAGCCCACGTTTTGCGTGGAGAATTTAGAAATGTATAGAAGTGGCTGCATTTTGAAGGATGGGTGGAGGGTCTTCCATCCCATTTGCAACCATTCATTCCCTTTCAGCTCCTTTTCCCCCCCGGGCCTCAGTTTTCCTGCTCTTGCACCTCTTGGAAGCCTGTGCCCCCGCCGGTTCCATTGTCATCTGTCCGAGAGAGCCTTCTGAGGATTCTGGAAGCTGAGGTCTCCATCAGCTGCCATTGACAGGGTCAAACTGTGAAGAAAACACCTCTCGTCTGACAGGTGAAGTGAGATTGTGACGGAGGAGGCTAAACTGCACAGGTGCTTGCTGACACCAAGACTGCTGTAGGGGGAGCCGGGGAGCAGGTGGGGGGCAAGACACAAAGAGCCTGGTGCCTTGGAGGCTGTCTGTCATCACCCCCCCCCCCCCCCCCCCCCCCAATTAAAGACCTTAGGTCCCACCCTGCCCTACATGTGGCCCAGGGCTGTGTGAGGGTCACTGGAGAAATCTGGGTGTGGGCACCGAACACTTACAGGAGGGAGGCACTATGACCAAGAAACCTCACCTGGGCCTGCTGAAGCTTTGCTCTCTGGGGCAAAGGCCCAACCCTGGATTCACAGGAGGGACTGCGCTGCAGAACTGGGGCAAGTGTAAATCACACACTAGACCTTTTCACGACTGGCTTTTGCTCCTTACTTATAAACCTCTCTTGTGGAGTAGTTTGAGAGGCAAGCGGAGGTGAGAAGGAAGTTCCTAGGGAGAGAGGAGAGATTAAGGAGAAAAATGTCCTTCGCTCCCGACGTCCGTGCACACACACACACACTTAAATTACAGTGTCCTGGGCAAACACGCCAAGCGGGACACACGTCTGAAGCCCCCTCCTGGAGGCCCCGCGGAACGGGGGCCCGGTGGAAAACCTTGGGGAGCGATGGCTCTTGACGTCCCTGTGGCCACTCGGGCCCTGGGGCTGAGCCGAGCTTAGGCTGCTGCTTTGTGCACCGTTTCCACCTCCGACCCGCCTCGGAGCATCACCCATCTGGCCTGGCGGGGAAGCTGAAAGATGCAAGGATGCGAAAACGGAGGCTTGGGTGAGAGCGGCGATTTGCGGTGTCACACAGGAGAGCACGTGGAGATGCGGGAACATCTCGCGGGCGCGCCCCGCCCGGCTGCTCCTAGAAGAGGACGGCGAGCGGGGTGCGGGGCCCCCGGAACGCCGCGGCGGCGGCGCAGCCCCCCTGGCGTTGCCAGGCGCACGGTTGCCGGGTGACCCGTGCTGTCGACCGTGTGGCCAGAGCGCCCGGGCTCGCTGCGCGCTCGCCGCCCCCATCATGGCCTCCCGCGGCGCGGGCGCCCTACTGACCGAGTTCAACGCCGCCTACGTGCCCCCCGGCCTCATGCCCGGGTAAGACCGCCACACACCAGGCCCCGCCTGAATCTGGGGCTCAGAGCCCCTGCGGGCGGTCTCTCCCCTCCTCCCTCCACAAACCCCTCCACCGGCCTCGAAACTCCACCCTTTGGGGGTCGAAGGAACCCGGGGCGCCAAGCTTTCACCTGGCGGGGTGGCCTCCCCAGGGGTCTGCGCTCTCAGAGCAGGCAGTGGCTGGGCGCGGTGGGGGCTCTCCAGGTCCCCTTCGGTAGGAAGTCGGTACCTAGCGAGCGCGGAGCCCGCCGGGCCGGGATAACCGTGGTTGGGGTCCGGGTCAGGGGGAGGTGGGGGAGACGACGTGTGGGGTTGGTGTTCGGAGACGCCGGGCAGGAGCAAGAGGGTGAGGAGTCCCCGAGAAGGGAGCGGGTTCTTCGGCCCCCACTACATTGCGGGCACGCAGGATTCCCGCAACATGAATTAACTTGTTGGTTGAAGGAGCGAAGGCGACCGGGTGGGCATCTGGGAGCGGGGCTCGAAGAATCTGACATGGCAGGACCGGCAGTAACGTTTAGTGGTATGCGCTACCCACCGGATCGCCTCCTCGGTTCTCCCACTGACCTCACTTAATCCTCACAGAATGCTGCCTTTGAAAGCTTCCCAGCCCCCAGACCTGCCCCACCTTTAGCATTTTAGGGTGCAGGGCAGAACGTACTTTCCCTTTCTCTGGATGTGTTCACACTCCAGACAGCTAAGGGGCAAGTCTGACGGCTCCCTTCCATTCTTTGGTCCTTTTTCTCAAAGTGTCTGAGAACCTCCTCTTCCAGGTTGTGAGACTGTCTCCTCTCTTCTACCAGTCAACATGGCCATTGAGGATGGGGGCTGGATTCTGAGAAGCCGCCTGCACAGCACCTGCACATCTGTATTGAAAGAATGAATGAAATTGATGTCTTGAGAGTTTTGCAGGCAGGATCTCCACGTGGGTGGAAAAACACGTGCTCTCTTCTGCAAACCAAACAGGCTGCAAAACAAAGAAAAGGTCTCAGTGTATATTTTGTGTGACGTTTGGGTTTTCTTGAAGCAGAATAAGGCTGACATAGAGGAGCTGTGATATTCAAATAATTTCTGCACACAGAGGTAGTACAGTAAGTAGGGGCAGGTTCTGTAGCTTTAATCCAGCCCCTTGGTGGACAGGGCCTTTCCTGGGCCTTAGAGAGCTCAAAAGCTGCTTCGGTTCCCATCAGACAAAGCTGATTTACCAGGTCACAGTTGTTTCCTGAAGTCAAGCCAGGTGTGTTAGAGAAGATGACTAAGGATTTTCCTCTTAATTCTTTCAATCGTTTAGGCATTCCTTTGATAAAGATGTGTTGAGTGCTTGGGATGGGCCAGGTATTGGGTTAAGACAAACAAGTGGGGGGCTGCCCTGGAGGGGTTCCCAGTCTGGTGTAAATACATAAGGTTCAGTTCAAAACCATCTCTGCAGCCTTGGGTAGTGGTGTCTACACCACACTCTGGGTGTTTATCATGAAATTTGATTTCATACATTGCTATATTTTTGTCTTAAGCCCACCACAGTCTCCATTGGAACCTAACCCTCCCCCACGGCTCCCCAACTCGGTCCCAGGTTGCGGGGAGGGAAGCTGCATGTTTCAGAAGCAATCCCAGGATACTTCTCTATCCACGCCACTCGTCTGCAGTTCCCTTGGGTGCCCTGTCCTCTGACTGATCTAGAAATTGTGATCGCAAGTGAATCATAAATAAGGTTCCAAGCGTGGATGGGCTAGTTTGAGCAGCTGAGCCTCTATGTGTTACTTTCTTGGCTGGATCTTTCTGGGAGGGATCTGCTCTCCCTAAAGATTCTCATCAACAAGGAATGAATTGAGTTGTCTTATGTGTCTAAATGCTACCTTATTGGCAACTTTGTTAACGTAATGAAAGAATCCAAGATTTCCCTGCCACACTTGGGTAATTATTATTTTGTGTCTTTTCAAAGATGAATCACAGGATTTTAAGTGCAACCAGTCTCTTCTGACACTCAGATCGTCCTCCTTACCAGTTTTACTCATAGAGGCAGAAATACTTGCAGTGGTGAGGACCTCGGAAACTAGGCAGTCCAGCCCCACCACCACCTCCCGTTCCAGACGTGGTCACCGAGGTCTGGGGGATGGGGACTTGCCTGAGCCTCAGGCTGGTGATGGAAGAGCTGGGCTGGAACCAGGTCCCTGATGCCCTGTAGTGGCACTGTGAACCCCCATGTATAAGTACCTATTATATGCCAGGCACTGAGCTGGGCTTTTTACAAACTTAAAAAAAAAAAAATCTTCACAACAACCCAGTTGTCAACCCAGATGCAAAACTGCCCGAGGTCTGTCATCAGGTTGCCCAGCCAGGTCTGTGTGACTTCAACACCCTGCTCTCCCCAACTGCTAGCAGTTGTCATCAGTTAGATCTCTACAGCGTTCAAGGCCTGATTCTGGGTACTGAGGGGAACAGGATGCTGGTCCTCAGACAAGGATGCCCCACCTGCTCCCTTGCCGCTTTGGGCAGTACAGCCCTCAGACATTGTGCCACTTTCTGGCCCGTGTGCCCTCCCTGCAGTGAGCAGGGAGCTCTCGGGTCAGAGATCCTGGGGTTGTAAGGCTTTTGGAGGGAAGAGACTGGCTCAGTGAGACGCTGTGCTTCCTGCCCGCAGGTCAGATCTAGGTGGGACCCATCCCTTTGCGCTCTGCCTCCCACCACACCTCACCGGGCTCCCAGTCCGAACACTTGACCTGCCCGTGCATCCTGGGGGACAAAGCAAAGGCCGTCTGTCCAGGAGGATGTAGGAGGCCCAAGTGCCCACATAGCTACCTGATGCCACTCACACAGCCCTGAGGAACTGGGGAGCCTTCCTAAGAACAGGGGATGGGGGGCTCCAGCAACCTGGGCTTTGTAACAGGGACCCTCCTTCTCTGCAGAAGAACCATAAGCCCATAGAGATGTGCTCCCATTTGTCAGTTCAATTCAGCAAATACTTACAGAGCATCTACTGGGTGCCAGGGATGCAAGTATGAGTAGAACCCAGCCCTCTCTCCCCATGGAGTTGACAGTTCAGATAGGAAGAATATACTAGGGCCCAGGTAATTACAACACAGCAGAATGTGAATTGAGACATAAGAGAGGCACAAAGATCGAAGACAGTTCAATGGCAGGGACAGGCGTGGTCTATGGGTGGGTCGGAAGAGGCTCGATGGGAAAGGGGGTGTATGAAACGTACCTTGAAGGATGGATAAGATCACAATTTGGGGAGAGGAGGAAACATCTTCTGGACGGAGGGGATGGCATGGGGAGGAGGTACCAGCAGAATACGCTTTGAAAGCAACAAATGGCCTATTTGCTTGGAGTGGCAAAGCTGGTGTTACCGAACCAAGCTTGGGTCTGCTTGCCTGCGCACAGTAAAACCAATCCATTGACCTGGGTTGCTGTGAAGGAAAGTGCCGCGTTTATTGCAGGGCACCAAGAAAGGAATCCAAGTAGCTAGTGCTCAAAAGCCCCCAACTCCCCAAAGGCTTTCAGGCAAAGGTTTTTAAAGATAGGGTGAGGGAGGGGGTTTGTGGGGTGTGTGATCAGCTCGTGGACATTCTTCTGATTGGTTGGTGGTGAGGTCATCAGGAGTTACCATCATCAACCTTCTGGTTCCAACCAGTCTGGGTTCTGCGTCCTTGTGGGAAGCATACAATTAACTTCTTCCGCCTGGTGGCATCAGTATCAGCAAAATGGCTCAAAGGACGCGGCTCAGAATATTATCTATGGTCCCTGCGGAGGAACTAGAGGTCCTTGACTTTGCTTAATGGCTGAACTATTATTATTTTGTCTTGCTTGACTGTTTTCCTTTCCTTCTGCATTTTCTCACGTCTCTGATTAAATTTATGCTTTGGAACTCTGGGAAGGCCTAGGAGGCTGAAGTTTTGCTACAGACAAGAAGCAGTCGGAGGACATGGTTGGGGATTCTGTCCCTGGAAAGCCCCACAGGGTCCTGCTCAGTTACACTGGGACACAGAAGTGGATGATGAGACAGGAAAGACCTCTCACAGGGGCCCACGTCAGGCAGGGCCTTGAGCACCTGGCCCAGTTTGTTCTCAGTTTCCCAGGTGATGGGGAGCCCTTGAAGGTTGTTGCCCAGGGGAGGGATCTGACCAGAACCGTAGTCAGCAGGAAGTGTGTGGAGATGAGGGTGCTCTTGGAATAGAACAGGCTGAACAGTAACAAGTTAATTAGTTAAGAAGCTGCTCGTGGGATCCCTGATGTTGAACGGTAATTAATTTGAATATTAGCTGGGGGACCAAGCAGTGCTATTAAGAGGCGGGGAGGGATGGCTCCCTGCGTGCACAGTAACCACAGGGGGCTTTGACTGTGGACCGGGCCGAGCACCTTCTCCAAGCTTGTGTGGTGCGCAGGTGGGTGAGGGGCAGGGTTGGACGAAGGGGTCGAGGAGGAGGTGTGAGGGTCCGTAGGGACCATTCGACGCCCCATTGTGAAACATGCCGCTCCCCTCTGTCCTCTCCACCATGGCGTGCCACAAGCCCAACAAAAACGGGCCTCTACCATGGAACCGCACTGTCATGCTCACAGCTCGCAAATGCAAGTGCGTACAGGGACATAGACCTACTAGTCGAGGTGTGCCCTCCGAGGGCTAAATAAATACGACCATGTGCATGGGCGCGTGCGTGCGCGCGCACACACACGCGCGCGCGCGCGTGTGCACGGGTCCCCGCCCACAGCAAGAGGGGTTGAATGGAATCCAGAACCCACGCAGAGCCTTAGGAGGATTGTGGAGGAGAGGGCTTCTCTTCTGTTGGGGTGCAAGTATCTTGGCTTTCAGGGAAGGTGGGAAAGCAGGGAGCAGAGAGCCTGGGGGTGGCAAAGACAAGGATCACGATGACATGTCACTTTTCTATAGCTCCTTTCTTTGAGGTGCACAGACGCCCCTGTGGGTGGGACTCTCTGGAGCCCAGCGTTCCAGGAAATGGTGCCCCCGGCTTTTGGACTTCGGCCTCCTT